CCCCCCGAAAAAAAAAGGTTAAGTTACCGGGGTTTGTACTGGACTGCAATACTTTGAGGAAATTTCCTCGAAGTATCCGGGATTCCATTGCATTTTCATTACACTTTTGCATCGCCCCTGCTGCCTGGAGAAACGTTCTTTTCAGCTCTTTGTGTGCTGCAGTGTGTGACGCCTCGTCTCGAGCTCGTTGAAAGGGAGAAGGGGTTAGCACGGGGCTGTTTTCCCCAAGAAATTGCTACGGTGAGTCAGGGACTGACGAGAGCTGGGGCCATTTGCAGAGCAATATCCTTGGGTTTCGTTTCTTTTTCAGGGCTCGAATGCAAGGCAGTCCCATTTTTTAATTACGGAGAGAAAGGGATGGTATGTGGAGTCCCGTCTTTTGTTACGGAGGAACCGCTGTGGGAGGTAGCATGTGTTAAACCATTAGTACCTTTGCGGCTTCAGAACTGAGGGCAAACGCCAGTCCCTGCCGCTTCAGAACTGAGGGCAAACGCCAGTACCTGAAGAATTCGGAGGCCGGGCCTGACGAGGGCTGCCATTGATAAATCTAATCGGCGGCCGTCATTTCCTTTTGGCCTCCTGAAAGGTCGGAAGCCCTTCTCGTGGATTACGAAAGGGCCACAGTATGTGGAGTCTCAATTTTTAATGACGGGGAGAAAGGCTGCTGCCTGGTCTGTGCCTGGTCTGTGCCTGGTCTGTGCCTGGTCCTCCACGCCACAGAAGGGATGGAACGGTTAGAAACAACGTGAGATGGGACCTCAAGCAGGACCCAATGTGGACTGCAATACTGGACCTATGGAGACAGATGGGGCCGGCCAAGAAGTCTCCCCCACTAAGATGGCAGGAGATATGGCGGCAGCCGTTGTTTGGAAAGCCGGACATCTGCGATATAGTTGGAGCGCCGCTCACTTTGGAGACCGGCTCACACTGGCTTACATGGGTGAGGAACGGCCTCTTCATGGTGGGGAATCTTTGGGACAGCCGGAGAGGCACCTGGAAGTCAGTGGAACAGCTGCAACCCAACCTCAGACATATTAAGAAAAATCAGGAAAAACTCTTCATCCACCGCGCGATCCACCCCCCATGGGTGATAGCCTTGGAAGATGGTCCGAATGTGGGCAGCCAGGATTGGGTTACAAAGAATAGGCCCAATCCGATCCCTATGACTATATTCAGGGTAGGCCACATTTCTGACCAAGGTCTACAGCTACAGGCGTATGCACCGGATGTACCAGGGGCGAGCCGGGCTGCACTGAAAAGAGATGAGGACTTAGACTGCACACTTTCAAAGGGAGAACTATCCAGGATCGGGGTGGTTGGATCAGAG